AACACTGCTTTGGATTTCTATCCTTTGGTAAGCATAAAAGTTTGAACCAATACTTCAAAACACGTAATAAACTATCAACATATATATATAATTTCTGCCACATACCGCCAAAACAGCAGCATTAGAGCATTTTTAACTTACGACACATACTTACAAAATCGAATGTGAAACTGTTCAATAACATGCCATTTCCGAAAACCCCATACAAAATTATCGGCTTTATCTGGACGTCAAAGATTTTGAACAAAATAGTTGGAGAAATATTTTTAAGTCTCCTACCAAAAACCTTAACTGAGCACAAGGCGTTGTTCGCTTTATTTACCAGATTTTGAACCGATTTAGACCATGATCCTTTGATGTAACTGTATAGCAGATACACATCAGAAGCATATTTCATAGCGACACTTTTACTTTGACCACTTCTCTTCACTCTCTTTATCAAAATACCATCAGGAAAGTCGTTATTAGTACTTAGCAATATCGTACAGTGCCGGTCGAACATCGTTTAGTTCCTTTTCTTCATTTCTGTAGCTTTTAATGAGTTTAGCTTCGCATCAATGTCTATCTCTTTCACCTAAAATTTCCCGTAGACATTTAGGATCCCATATTCAAGTGAATTAGGCTTCTGAGTAGAATATGCAGGTGAGGAATGTATGTCATTCATATTTCTATCTTTCAAGGGAAAAACTCAGATATTACCTGTTCAATGTCCACAGTACATAGTTCTCAGTTAATCCACACATTGTCCTTTTGATCACACAATAACAGCGTAATCCTGTACGAACTGTGCTACTGTATGTACGAAGGATGGTCTTTTTACATCAGGTCAGCTTCAGCATTGACCTTGCGTTGAGACAGAGAGAGTCGGCCAAGCACGTCCGCTCACGTCGAGGGCCAAGCCGATTGAGATACGCATATATATTTTGTTTTGCTAAAATGTCATATTTATTGTAGCTGGCGATCACAACAAACTAGCATGTGTATTTCACCTCATTTCGTGCACGTAGAACTTTCGCTTACCATGTTCATGAGGGTACGCTTTTCGCTCCAACCGCGATAGCACCAATTTCAGATTATTCTCAACAATCACGAACTGATTACAGCCTCGTCATCCATGGAAGCCCTAGTTTACAGTAACATCGGTGAAAACGTGTGAACAGGCATGCTTATTTCACCATATTCCATGCACGTTCAACTACTGCTTACCATGTCTGTGAGGGTCCGTATAACCTTAGTATTGAATAAACATATTTTACATTTATAGAGCAAAACCTGTAAGTAAAATTACACAATGTAATATACATTTCTCTCGGTAAACTAATAGTTTTAGATATTATATTTTACCGATCACTGCGGTAGAATTCATCATGTTATGTTATTGGGTATATTTTAACTTGATCACTGGGAAATGTGTGCACGGCTGATTGCTATTTCCGGCTTTAAATCTGGAAATCGTGGAAATCTCACAACGAGGCTCTGCCGCTAGAAAAGTTTGGCGGTCTGGTACGGACTTGATATTATATCAATCACATTGTGCGTTACAAAACTACACTGAATAAGCGCAAAAAATACATAACAGGTGCAACCAGTGGGCCAGATGACTTGTGAATCATTTTACCACCTCATCAAACAGGGACAGTCTGTGACGTCTTAGCTGAGGTCATGCTGCCTACACCCCGCCATAAAATATAGAAATACGATGTTATTAAAGTTTAGAATTAAACTTAACTGTTATTTTCTTATGAAACAAGGAATTGAAATTTTAGTGTAACCATAGTTGTTTGCGGTGTCTCTTTCACTTTCACACGAGAAAATTGGATCGGCTGAAAAGTAGGTCATTGTCTGAATAGGTTAATGAGACCCATGTTTTGGTTTGTGGGGATTTGTTGTGATTGTGTAAAATCTGCAAAAGAGTGAATTGAACAGTCATTTTTTCTATATCTTGTGATTGTGTACAATCTTGTCTCAAATGACAATTACACTTATGAAAATTATTATATTCAGGAGTTTTTAAGTTCTTGTAGATCCACCCTCAAGTCACGTTTTTTTGCACAGAAACCAACCACAAAAACTTTATATATAGTTCATTTAATGCTCATAATTATCACATCATTCAAACAAGAACAAATTGTGTCCAGGGACACGGATGCCCCCGCTGCTGTAGGAAGAGTTCCCTACACTGAGTGTGCGCTGGTGATTAATTTCTACTAAACAAATATCATGGTTGATTATAAAATAAATATATCCAAAGTGTCCAAAGTAAATACTTATTTGTAAATTCTGTTGAGCACTGTTTGTTGAGAAGTGGATAGACTTAATCCCCTATTTCACCATCATCAGAGAGAAATTCAACAAAAATTATTTAAGTTCAAATGTCTCTAAACATACAAAAAACTATAAAATACAAAAACAAAATATGAGATGCACACCTTTAGAGTCTCTATAAAAGACATATGTAAACAAAATGAGTTTTGTGCAGTGTTTTTTTAGGAGAAGTGGATAAAGTACACCCCCTGTTGTATGGGACGAACAGGATGAACAGAACCAAATTCAACTAAGTTCAAACATCTGGAGAAGTGACAAAATTAAGAAATTGGATGCACAAGGTATGAGATGCACACCATTAGAGTCCCAATGAAACACACGTAGAAGCTCAATCAATTCTGTTGCGCAGCTTTTGTGGAGAAGTGGATAGACTTCATCCCCTATAACACTATATTCAGAGAGAAATTCAACAAAATTTATGTAAGCTCAAACGGCATTAAAATTGGAACGGACGGACACGAATGGTAACCCTATATGCCCCGTGCCATATATGGCGGGGACATAAAAATGACAAATATACAGTATTGCAGTATTGTAAAAGAGTTCAAATGTTTACCTGGGAATTGCACAAGTTGTAAAAATATTTAATTCTTAATCAGTGTAACCGATTGTACAATCAATCATTGATTGGATGGGACAATCCGATTGCAACCGATAATCAATTATGAAATTTCACCCGATTCCCACCACTACCGGGGAATGACATCAATAGTTAACCCATGGCACAAGTCCGAGGGAAAGATATCAATAGTTAACCCATGCCACAAGTCTGAGGAAAAGACATCAATAGTTAACCCATGCCACAAATCTGGGGGAAAGACATCAATAGTTAACCCATGCCACAAGTCTGAGGAAAGGACATCAATAGTTAACCCATGCCACAAGTCTGGGGGAAAGACATCAATAGTTAACCCATGCCACAAGTCTGGGGGAAAGACATCAATAGTTAACCCATGCCACAAGTCTGGGGGAAAGATATCAATAGTTAACAAATGCCACAAGTCTGGGGGAAAGACATCAATAGTTAACCCATGCCACAAGTCCGAGGGAAAGAAATCAATAGTTAACCCATGCCACAAGTCTGAGGAAAGGACATCAATAGTTAACCCATGCCACAAGTCTGAGGGAAAGACATCAATAGTTAACCCATGTCACAAGTCCGAGGGAACGATATCAATAGTTAACCCATGCCACAAGTCCCGGGGAATGACATCAACAGTTAACCCATGCCACAAGTCCGAGGGAAAGATATCAATAGTTAACCCATGCCACAAATCCCGGGGAAAGATATCAATAGTTAACCCATGCCACAGGTCCCGGGGAATGACATCAACAGTTAACCCATGCCACAAGTCCGAGGGAAAGATATCAATAGTTAACCCATGCCACAAGTCCGAGGGAAAGATATCAACAGTTAACCCATGCCACAAGTCCGAGGGAAAGATATCAATAGTTAACCCATGCCACAAGTCCCAGGGAAAGATATCAATAGTTAACCCATGCCACAAGTCCGAGGGAAAGATATCAATAGTTAACCCATGCAACAAGTCCGAGGGAAAGATATCAATAGTTAACCCATGCCACAAGTCCCAGGGAAAGATATCAATAGTTAACCCATGCCACAAGGCCGAGGGAAAGATATCAATAGTTAACCCATGCCACAAGGCCGAGGGAAAGACATCAATAGTTAACCCATGCCACAAGTCCGAGAGAAAGACATCAATAGTTAACCCATGCGACAAGTCCGAGAGAAAGACATCAATAGTTAACCCATGCCACAAGTCCGAGGGAATGACATCAATAGTCAACCCATGCCACAAGTCCGAGGGAATGACATCAACAGTTAACCCATGCCACAAGTCCGAGGAAATGACATCAATAGTTAACCCATGCCACAATCGCGTGGTAAGATATCCACGTGAACTCATGCCACACACTCTGACATATGAAGACAATATGACGATATTTTACGTCAAAGTCTGTCACAATTAACCCTCAGTATACCTTCTTCCGGGGGACAGACATCCTATGAGGGTATTTTTGCCCTGATGCCGTATAATGTACACAGCTTTAGGTTTTTGTTACTGTGACACAAACGAAATATGCATCTTTATCATTCCTTTGTAGCAGCTGAAGAAACTTGTCCACGGCGGGAATTTCAAATATAAGTGGCTCCATCTGGTTCTTTCGGAGTCGGCTGTCTTTCTGACACCAACGTGTTATATAGAAGTTTCAGAGTTAAACTTTGAACCAACCAAGCAAGAGACGACTGTCAGTCCTGTACAGGAGTTTTGGGGTTCCCTGCTCAAGTCCCATAGGGAACGATCCCACAAGCTAATATATGTTGCATTATATATTTAACAGACTATCCACCGTTGGACAGTTTTGATCTGATTGGTGTGTTTGTGGGAGTTCAGCATTTACACTGAGGTTCACAGATATAGACAATTAAAAGAGTCTACCTGCGACGTGCACTGTCTTCAGTCGATGATAACATACCTTTTTCTAAGTTCCCCCGGTCACATGAATCAAACTGTGTCATCCATAACAAATATTTCCAGTTTCATTACAGAGCCGAGTGCAGTGTGTGGTCAGTCGAGTTTGTTGGTATTCTAATAACATGAATAAGAACACATTAAACAGCCCTACTTTCCTCTTCGTTGTTGAGATAAATGTCAGCAAAAACGGTATTTTTTATTATTCTGTGTCAGTAAACGACATCAGCACATTTATATAAATTCATCACGTGACATGATTTCGTAACTAATATATACACCACACATAGTACATAAATATGCCGCAACCTCTCCCTGCATTCGGCAGTGATCACAAAACCACGAACGTCACTAGGATGATAAGGGTTCCGTGGCATCAACTGAACATTACATATCTAAGTTAAAGCTACAAAACACACGTATGCCAGAGATCAATAATAAAACTAGTCGCCCACAGCTTGTTACATGTAGATGTTTATAGATAATGATTGTCACTGGTCATATTTCTCCTTGATCTCGTTACACGGTGGGCCTTTTCACATGGCACACTGCGTTCACTAACACCGCCGGTGAATGTACCCGTCAGTCAACCCTGAGAATTCATATTTGATGTGTACCTGACTACGGCAAACACTTTAACATCTGTAAAGGAAACAAAAACACCGGCCTTGCTGTGATCAACCCTGAGGTACATCCAACACAGATATGAAGCAAAGGAGTTGATACTGAGCTTGAGAAGAATCTTCATCAAAACTATTGAGAGAAACACTGGTTTCGTTTCGCAATCTCTTCCGTACATCCAGGTTCGATACACCCAGGGGCAGTGTGGGCTTGCAATAAAGGGCTTGTCAGAAAAGATCGTTACTATTTTCCTCTCACATTCAACTGAAAAACCCTGTCATAACTGGAATACCTCCCAAAGCGTCCTCTCACTAGCACGCACGCACGAACGAACGAACGCACGCACGAACGCACTCACTCACTCACATGTCATCAGTTCCGCCTGGTGAACTTGGACTGCGATGATTGTCTGTGCTGGGACACTTGATGACGACAGTGACTTCATCAACGTGATGGAAATGATCTTTCCCGTCAGTCAGACTCTGCAACTCCGGGATGTCAGACTTCTCCTCTGGCACGTCCGACTGCGTCTTCTTCAGCAACATTATCATCAGACCACACATGGACGACACGAAGAATGTTGAACCTGTAACGAAAATGACGAATTCAGCGTATTAAACCAAGCAGTTCCTTTTAAGTGGGTAGCACAGAGGTTAAAGTGTTCGCTGGTCACTTTGAACTGCAGGGGTTGGGGTCGCGATGTGGGTGTGAACTGCACGGGTTGGGGTCGCGATGTGGGTGGTGTGTGAGTGGGGTGTGGGTGGGGTGTGGGTATGACCTGCAGGGATTGGGGTCGCGATGTGGGTGGGATGTGGGTTGGGTGTGGGTGTGAACTGCAGGGATTGGGGTCGCGATGTGGGTGGGATGTGGGTTGGGTGTGGGTGTGAACTGCAGGGATTGGGGTCGCGATGTGGGTGGTGTGTGAGTGGGGTGTGGGTGGGGGTGTGGGTATGACCTGCAGGGATTGGGGTCGCGATGTGGGTTGGGTGTGGGTTGGGTGTGGGTGTGAACTGCAGGGATTGGGGTCGCGATGTGGGTGGGATGTGGGTTTGGTGTGGGTGTGAACTGCAGGAGTTAGGGTCGCGATGTGGGTGTGAACTGCAGGGGTTGGGGTCGCGATTGCGGTGGGGTGTGGGTTGGGTGTGGGTGTGAACTGCAGTGGTTGGGGTCGCGATTGCGGTGGGGTGTTGGTGGGGCGTTGGTGTGAACTGCAGGGATTGGGGTCGCGATTGCGGTGGGGTGTTGGTGGGGTGTGGGTGTGAACTGCAGGGGTTGGGGTCGCGATTGCGGTGGGGTGTGGGTTGGGTGTGGGTGTGAACTGCAGGGATTGGGGTCGCGATGTGGGTGGGATGTGGGTTGGGTGTGGGTGTGAACTGCAGGGATTGGGGTCGCGATGTGGGTGGGATGTGGGTTGGCTGTGGGTGTGAACTGCAGGGATTGGGGTCGCGATGTGGGTGGGATGTGGGTTTGGTGTGGGTGTGAACTGCAGGAGTTGGGGTCGCGATGTGGGTGTGAACTGCAGGAGTTGGGGTCGCGATGTGGGTGTGAACTGCAGGAGTTGGGGTCGCGATGTGGGTGTGAACTGCAGGGGGTGGGGTCGCGATTGCGGTGGGGTGTGGGTTGGGTGTGGGTGTGAACTGCAGGGGTTGGGGTCGCGATGTGGGTGTGAACTGCAGGAGTTGGGGTCGCGATTGCGGTGGGGTGTGGGTTGGGTGTGGGTGTGAACTGCAGGGGTTGGGGTCGCGATTGCGGTGGGGTGTTGGTGGGGTGTGGGTGTGAACTGCAGGGGTTGGGGTCGCGATTGCGGTGGGGTGTGGTTGGGGTGTGGGTGTGAACTGCAGGGATTGTGGTCGCAGGACGGATGTATAAACTGTTGCTTTATAACATTCACTATATAATAGTCTAAATCATGTATGTTGCAATGCCATTTGGATACATTCTGTTAAATATTATAATTGTATTGAGGTAGATATCACTATTTGCATTCCAATTTTCGCCATACATTTATTTATTTAATGTATTACTTTGTGGGGATTTTAATGCTCGCACAGCTAATGAAAGTAATCCAATCTTTGAGCAAAGTGTAGACTTTGGTAATAATGATGTATATATTGATGAAGACAATGCCCCTGTTGAGCAGCGGGCGTCACATGACTCTACTATTAATAGATTTGGACGCATTCTATTGGATTTGTGTTATGTTTGTCGTCTGTATATATTGAACGGGAGAGTTGAAGGTGACAAAGGCGGCGAGTTTACTTATGTAGGAGAAAGGGGTTCTAGTGTTGTTCATTACTTTCTTGCATCTGTTAGTTTTTCTGAGTTTGTAGAAATGCTAAATGTTGGTGATCGGTTAGACTCTGACCATTTCCCCTTTGAGTTATCTTGCAGGTTTCCTTTAAGCAGTCATGCTAAGCGTACTGTAGATTGTGATGACCATGACGCTGACTTTAGATTTGTCTTGGATGAATCGAAGATAGACTTATTTACTGCATCATTGAGACAGATGCTGCATATCAATGATAATTCTTTATTAACTAAACTTGAAAATTCCCATGAAGAGGGCATTGCAGATTTTGTACATTGTCTTCTTCATTCAGCTTCAAGTATGAAAAGGCAAATGAAGAATTTTGATCCTGGAACTAGTAAACCTAAATTGAATAAAGCTTGTAGACAAGCGAGGACAGAAAGCAGGAAAGCCCTAAGAAAGTTTAGACGATATCGCAGTGAATATAATCGTAAAGGTTACTGCAGACTTAGAAACATTTATAAATCTTCTTGCAGAAAGTTCAAATATGATATCCAATCGTCAAGACTTGACTTTAATAACTCCCTAAACAGCCCGAAACTATTTTTGAAAAATATACGTTCTCTGCAAAGTCGCTCTACCCCCATAGTAAATATATCGCAAATGGAATGGTTATGTAATTTTAAGAATCTCTTTTCCAAGGAAGATATTGCTTACGATGTTGACAAATGGTTATCAGATTGTGACAGCGATGTGCTAAGTGAAGAGTTTAATTATGTTGACAGGTTTGTGCTGGAATCACCTATTACGGAATATGATATACTGGATGCTGTGTCTCGTCTTAAAGATGGTAAATCTGCTGGAGTTGATGGTGTTATTTCAGAAATGCTGAAATACTCATTACCTGACATTATGCCCTTCCTGGATAAAATGTTCAATCGAGTATTGGATACAGGTCGTTTCCCTTCTGTCTGGGCGCAATCTATTATTATCCCGTTATATAAAAACGGAAATGCACAAAATCCTGACAATTATAGGGGTAGTTCGCTGACTAGTACTAGGCAAAACGTTTACATCTATTATCAACAGCAGGCTAACCCAATGGTCGAATAAGTGAGATTTAATACCGGAATCTCAAGCAGGATTTAGAAAGGACTATTCAACATTTGATCATATATTTACCTTGTATGCTATTATGGAGAGATATTTATCCTTTAGCAAGCGAAAGTTGTATGTAGCTCTTGTAGATTTCAAAAAGGCGTTTTATTCTGTAGATAGAGGTAGAATGTGGAAATGCTTAAGAAATATAGGTTGAGAGGTAAAATGTATGGTATCATAAGATCGATGTATTCCAATGTAAAGTCATGTGTCCGCTGTGGCTATGGTGTAAGTGACTTTTTCGATCGTCCTGTCGGTCTGCGTCAAGGATGTATTTTAAGTCCTTTACTTTTCTCCTTTTTCATTAACGAATTATATTTAGATATCATGAAGTCTGGTAAACATGGCATCCAACTTTCTCCCGATGTAATCGAACTTTTTATGTTATTATTTGCTGATGATGTCATTCTTATGTCCAGCTCTGTAATTGGTCTTCAAAATGAAATAGATATACTCTCAGCGTATACAGATAAATGGCAGTTGAGTGTGAATCTAGATAAAACAAACATTGTTATATTCCGTAGAGGTGGTCCTTTGTCGGCTAGAGAGAAATGGGTTTTTTAAAGATAACGTATGAATGTTGTGAATGATTATAAATACCTTGGCATATTGTTTACCCATACGCTGAATCTGAATAAGTCCGTACTTAACCTGGCGAGGAGAGCAAAGAAAGCTCTTTTACAACTTCACTCTGTTGTTCCTATGCTCGGTCTTATTCAAAATACTATTTACTTAAAATTATTTGACTCTCAGATACAACCGATTTTACTGTATGGATCTGAAATATTGGGTTTTAAAGAGTATTATACCACAGAAAAAATTCATTTGCTTGCCTGTAAAAAGTTTCTAAATGTTGGTTTGTCAACACCAAATGCTATGGTTTGTGGTGAATGTGGGAGGTTCCCATTGTACATATCATCTTATTGTCGTTGTTTAAAATATTGGTGTAAAATAATTAATATGCCTGAACATCGTTTACCTAAAAAAGCTTTCAATATGCTTTTATATCTTGATTATCTTGGAAAGAGTAACTGGACAACACATTTTCGCACCTTAATATTTAGATATGGTTTTGATTCTATTTGGTTATCACAGACAGTTGGCAATGCAAATATGTTTATTAGACATTTTCGTATGCGGGCTATTGATATGTTTAAGCAGGAATGGCATTCAACTATTACTGAAAGTTCTAGATATGATTCATATCGTCAATTTAAGTCGTTGCTTGAGCCAGAGTGTTATCTTGCTCACCTTCAATACAGAAATATTCGCAATGCTTTTATACGTTTTAGATAAGGCCTTAATGATTTATTAATTATCCGTGGAAGATATGTTTCTATGGAAAAAAAACAAAGATTATGTCCATTCTGTTACATTATTGAAGACGAATTCCATTTTATGTTTATTTGTTCTGTATATGAAAATCTAAGAAATATGTATCTACCGCACCTGTCTTTATCTCAAATGAACGGTAAACTATTGTCTTCCTTACTTTCCTGCAAAGAACCTCCAAAACAACACAAAGTAGCCCTATTTATCTACAATGCATTTTTGTTAAGAAAAGAATTGATGAGTTAGAAAGTTGATTATATATGCCATTGTCAAGATGTATCTCTTTTGTATATGGGCCTATGGCCTTTCATACAATAAAGAATTGAATTGAATTGAATTAATGACATCTAAATCAGCATACATGCTTGAGAGAAACAGGCAGCCGTTTTAAATCTATATAGTAGTCGACAAGTAGACAACAGCTAAAAACAGTTACCATGTAAAGTAATAAGATTATATAGACCTTCAGCTGACATCATTTTGCGTCCTTATTCATATGTCAATGCTACAGAACATACAAACTCGAGAACTTAGATAAATAAAACCAGTGGAGCCCATGTGAACCTTTTATAAGTCGTACTATATCATTCAATGAGACAGGAGTAATGGATGTACACGGTAGCAGGTGGTTCAATTTACACCACTATCAGTCAGACAGACAATCTGGCTTATTCTACTAATTGCACTGTTAATCGAGATAGAAATTATTAGGGAAACTTTTCCTGTTCTTCTTGCAGTTGATTCTGAGCTAGCCATTAACTGGATATTTGTAACGCTCATTGCACACAATTCCATATGACTAAAATAGCTCATTTTACAGAAGAATCGAGACGCCATCAATAACACAAAGCATTTATGAAGTCGAAACCCATCAGGTGAAGTCGATTTCAGAAGTAGTTAGCTCGACCCTTCGGAACTCGTTGATTCAACTTACGGAATCAACAGATCCTTAAGAGTTCTCCACTCCAGTCATGGTAAACAGGACGTGTGCGCTGCACCCTTCCCAGCCTGAGCAGTTCTCGGCTGGTTTGTTGCACCTATAGCGCCCGTAAGTAGGTCACGGCACTTAGCGAGACCTCAGTACTTCCGGTGACAAACAACGTTTCATACCTTTTCGAATGGTCTCATGGTTGTCGGTTGACAGTGAGGAACCGATAAGCCAGCTATTCCGACTGTCAATAGCTGTGACAGAAAATCAGGGTTGTTCACTTGGTCCGGTCTAGTAAAGTCATATTTGGCAGTCGCGCAATTTGGAACCAGAAGTGGTCTTATAGTGAATATACACGGGAAATATGGTACCGGAAGTGAGCTGGACCCCATCTTGCATATCGCAAGTTGGCGCACGCAAAGAGAGGCGGGAACCATCTTAGTACCGGAAGTAATGTGCTCAGATCACAATTTTGTACTTCTTATTTGAGCCACGGTGTACAAATGACAGGTATGTGACCTTATATTTGTAGTTTATAGGTAAATGACGTATGCATATTTATCCTAGTTCGTTAGATAACAGAGATATCCACCAATTATATGATAAAGGCATTAGTCAATTTTGGGTAAAATATTATTGTACTTTCAACTGCGGATACATCGTTTCAGTAATGAAGGGGTGGGGGTAGGGGTTGGGGATCTAACCATTTGAGTGATCTGGTAAGAATGTGTTTCAAATGTACACTTATATGTGTTGGACGAAGCTTACAACGCGAAATGTACATTTATATGAGTTGGACGAAGCTTACAACGCGAACTGTACATTTATATGTGTTGGACGAAGCTTACAAAGCGGAATGTACATTTATATGTGTTGGACGAAGCTTACAACGCAAAATGTACATTTATATGTGTTGGACGAAGCTTACAACCCGAAATGTACATTTATATGTGTTGGACGAAGCTTACAACGCGAAATGTACATTTATATGTGTTGGACGAAGCTTACAACCCGAAATGTACATTTATATGTGTTGGACGAAGCTTACAACGCGAAATGTACATTTATATGTGTTGGACGAAGCTTACAACCCGAAATGTACATTTATATGAGTTGGACGAAGCTTACAACGCGAAATGTACATTTATATGTGTTGGACGAAGCTTACAACACGAAATGTACATTTATATGTGTTGGACGAAGCTTACAACACGAAATGTACATTTATATGTGTTGGACGAAGCTTACAACGCAAAATGTACATTTATATGTGTTTGACGAAGCTTACAACGCGGAATGTACATTTATATGTGTTGGACGAAGCTTACAACGCGAAATGTACATTTATATGAGTTGGACGAAGCTTACAACGCGAACTGTACATTTATATGTGTTGGACGAAGCTTACAAAGCGGAATGTACATTTATATGTGTTGGACGAAGCTTACAACGCAAAATGTACATTTATATGTGTTGGACGAAGCTTACAACCCGAAATGTACATTTATATGTGTTGGACGAAGCTTACAACGCGAAATGTACATTTATATGTGTTGGACGAAGCTTACAACCCGAAATGTACATTTATATGTGTTGGACGAAGCTTACAACACGAAATGTACATTTATATGTGGACGAAGCTTACAACGCGGAATGTACATTTATATGTGTTGGACGAAGCTTACAACGCGAAATGTACATTTAGATGTGTTGGACGAAGCTTACAACGCGAAATGTACATTTATATGTGTTGGACGAAGCTTACAACGCGGAAATGTACATTTATATGTGTTGGACGAAGCTTACAACGCGAAATGTACATTTATATGTGTTGGACGAAGCTTACAACGCTAAATGTATATGTATATGTGTTGGACGAAGCTTACAACGCGAAATGTACATTTATATGTGTTGGACGAAGCTTACAACGCGAAATGTACATTTATATGTGTTGGACGAAGCTTACAACGCGAAATGTACATTTATATGTGTTGGACGAAGCTTACAACACGAAATGTACATTTATATGTGTTGGACGAAGCTTACAACGCGAAATGTACATTTATATGTGTTGGACGAAGCTTACAACACGAAATGTACATTTATATGTGTTGGACGAAGCTTACAACGCGAAATGTACATTTATATGTGTTGGACGAAGCGGAATGCAGACCTCAGCCACCACGTGACATCGTCTCCAATTGTCCTATTGCCATCAAAGGTACTTACCAGCAAAGTAAAAGGCTGCTTGGTATTTTCCGTATGTTTCAGCAATTATACCTGTGAAAGAAAACCATAGTGTCCATTTTAAACAATGTTCCAGAAGCCCGTACCGCCAAGTGGTTACAGGGACAAGCAAGTCCTGTATGTTATGGTCGGGAATAACTTACATAGCATCTCACGTTGTGTGGATAATCAAGTCAGGACAAAGCAGTGATTGACATGTTGAGCAGCATCGTACGACGTCATCGATCCTCATCACCGATGTATTCTAGTCGTACTACCCATGAAGGTCCGGGTTAGAATATTGATCTTCAGTAACCCATGCTTGTCGTAAGAGGCGACTAACGGGTTCGGGTGGTCAGGATCGCTGGCTTGGTTGACACATGTCATCGGTTCCTAATTGCGCAGATCGATGCTCATGCTCTTGATCACTGGATTGTCCGGTCCAGACTCGATTATTTACAGACTGCCGCCTTATAGCTGGAATATTGCTGAGTGCGGCATAAAACTAAACTCACTCACTCACTTCTAGTCGCGTCTATGTATGGCAATGCTGGGGAGCCTGTTACCACCCTGGATCCCTCGGATCACCATCATCACCATCATGATTTCAAGGAAGCAGCCTAAGCTGAGAGGCGACTGAATGTGTCCTGGTTGATGGTGCTTTATTTACAACTGGATCAACATAAGTCACGTGATGGCTGGTCCTGACTCATAATGCTGAGTACGGCATCAATACATATCATAGTAACATGAGCACTCGTTGGCCACGACACGTTGGCCATACATTCCTTACAACCTTTTTATTGCTTGAGACAGGACCCCCCACAACCACCGGCCTAACCACGATGTCTTATAATCGTGGATAACCCTGGTACGAAGTTTGCTCCCCACATACCACATCCCTGATGTCTGATACTCTCGGTGGCCATCACTGATTCAGACTCCAGTTGTTCCAGATCGCCGTCATACACCTGGGAACTGTGCAGACAAATACTATATACCAGAAATCAGATTGTCAACAGAATGCACTTACTTGCTACTGGAGGTCCAATCAGGATACCTAAACCTGAGGCTAACATCGCAATCCCGTATCCAGAGGCGAAGTTCCTCACCCCAACGATATGTAGAGTGAGGGGGTTGATTAGCACCCAGCCCACTGAAGCATACAGGCCGAACATAAAGGCATACGCTACCTTCCCCACCATTGTCTTCGTCATCGGCCAAATGAAAAAGTCTATCGTTGCTATGACACCATATGTTCCTGAGAATAGAACAGAAGGTCCTATATTTGGGTCATTGGCAGCGAACCCCCCGAGAAGTCTTGCCAGGGCTCCTCCTATTCCTACCATGGAGAAGAGGAATGAAGCTTCTTGAGGAGAAGAACCTTGTTTGATGAAGATGTCGGGGAGGAAGAGGTAGGAGATGAAGTTGCCGACGCTGAAGGAGAACGTTGCCAACAGCAGCAGGAGAAATGCTGGGTGGAACATCTCACCTACCCGGTCACATCGTCCACACAAAGAAGTAAGGATTCGTTGACAGACAGACTTCCCTGATTTAGCACTGACCGCTAACTCCGTCTCGAGTTCCGACGGTCTCAAGAGTGCCCCGAACAAGACTGCGTGGAACGCTATTGCTCCCAAGAAGAGGAAGCATCCTTTAAGTCCGTAGTTGTCCAGCAGATACTGAGTCAGTGGAGGGAGGAAGAAGGTGCCCATCCCAACTCCCGCCATTCCCACGCCAGTCACTAAGCTCACCTGTAACAACACAGTTTTTATTAGCGGAGTGAGTTTCCTTTTAGTTAATACTAAGTACGAGGTATACGTGAGTTTTGTACAAGCCTTTGTCGAAGGCACCCTCCACATAACTTGCAATGTCTGTGATTTGTAATGTCTTGTGACAGTGAATGGAATACCATGTGACAGTTAATGTAATACCATGTGACAGGGAATGTAATGCCATGTGACAGTGAATGTAATACCATGTTACAGTGAATGTAACGTCATGTGACAGTGAATGTAATATCATGTGACAGTGAATATAACGTCATGTGACAGTGAATATACCGTCATTTGAAAGTTAATGTAACGTTATGTGACAGTGAATGTAATACCATGTGACAGTGAATGTAATACCATGTGACAGTGAATGCAATACCATATGACAGTGAATGTAATACCATGTGACAGTGAATGCAATACCATATGACAGTGAATGTAATACCATGTGACAGTGAATGTAATACCATGTGACAGTGAATGTAATATCATGTGACAGTGAATGTAATACCATGTGACAGTGAATGTAATACCATGTGACAGTGAATGTAATACCATGTGACAGTGAATGTAATACCATGTGACAGTGAATGTAATACCATGTGACAGTGAATGTAATACATTGTGACAGTGAATGTAATACCATGTGACAGTGAATGCAATACCATTTGACAGTGCATGTAATGTCATGTGACAGTGGATGTAATGCCATCTCACAGCGATTGTAACGTCACGTGACATAGTATGTAACGCCATGTGACAGTGAATGTAATACCATGTGACAGTGAATGTATTGTCATATAACAGTGAATAAAATGTCATGTGAGAGTGGATGTAATGCAATGTGACAGTGAATGTATTGTTATGTGACAGCGAAAGTAACACCATGTGACAATGAATACAATGTCATGTTACAGTGGATGTAAGGCCATGTGACAGTAGATGTAATATCATGTGACAGTGAATGTAATGTCATGTGACAGCGAAAGTAACACCATGTGACAGTGAATGCAATACCATGTGACAGTGAATGTAATGTCATGTGACAGTGAATGTAATGTCATGTGGCAGAGAATGTAATGCCGTGTGACAGTGAAAGTAATGCCGTGTGGCAGTGAATGCAATACCATGTGATATGACAGTGAATGTAATGTCATGTGACAGAGAATGTAATGCCGTGTGACAGTGAAAGTAATGCCGTGTGGCAGTGAATGCAATACCATGTGACAGCGAATGGAATACCATGTAACGGTGAATGTAATGATCAATGCAAAGTGCCGTGATTGGCATGGACGATGATGGAACACAAGGTCTGGACATCCACATGCCACGTGAAGACGCCAACATGGCCGCCTGTTCCTCCCCCTTACGTGACAACCCTTCACCGATATCAATTCAACACCGTTATAATGCAAAGTGTGAATTGTTAAACTTGATAACGGTGTTAGAATCTACATAAAAGAACTGCCCTTCAAGTATGTTGAATGCTTCGTTATATACTCACCAACTGCAAGAAGGACGATCATACCATGCAATTTATCTCTAATGATATATTCAGACATCAGGCGCAAACTTAACTAAATGAGGCTTCTTTCACGGCATCGATGTATGGCGAGTAGAAGTAGAGATCAGATATGCATAGTTGTCAGATCTTGACATCACGTTTGTCGGATGCTTTTATCGGATGGATAAAATCTGTTAACTATATATATCCGTTATATAATATGATAAACAGCATGAATAAGTGTTACCCTAGCTTTGTTACCCGTGAGATACGCCGTTGTGTATCATCTCCTCAAACGTCTGTGTAACTTAGTGTAAGGAAGTGATATAGTGTAAAACAGTCATGTGACTCAGGAAGGCGGTTGCAGGAGATGCGATATTGACAATTTACCATCTCGCATTAGTGTTTTCAGAAAGCATACAACACATATCGCTGAGCGAGCATCAGCTTGAAGCGGCCGTAATATATGTAACTCTTAAGGCAGGCGTCAGTTCAGAAATCCTTGTCATCAACATTCGGTGCAGGAGACAATGACGGATCAGGTCACCCAGGAACAGTGTATGTGGGATTCACAGCTGACCAGGGTACGCAGATGCCCATGGGGCAATTAATTCCATCTGACCAGTGGACTCACGTACTCACTCACCTGGTCTCGGAAGTAGAAGCCCAGGAGGACGACGGACCCGGTGTAGACCAAGCCCTCCCCCAAACCTGGAACACAGACAATAGGGTGACCCCGTTACTGACTGTCACCCGTGGAGAGTTGGGGTATATGTACCCAGCGACATGTGCTTCTCGTAAGAAGTGTCTGAATGACTCGGGTTTGACACAGTATCCAAACTGCGTGGATTGATCTGCATAATGTCAATCACAAGATGATCTGGTCCAGCAGGTTGTTATGTCAAGCCTTTTTTCAGTTGTATGTATGATATATATATTCAAGGCACCATTCTGGAAAGAAGGGCATAATAAACCTATGCGTAAACAATGCCACACCTGATATACGAACCCTGAGAGGATTCACGTAAATAGAATAATGGAGTCTGGACCAGACCTACCGCTGATCTGTAGTGTGACACACACTACAACACACTGCGGCACACAGCGACATACACAGTGACACACACTCCAACATATATTGTGACACTTACTGCAACAAACTGCAAGACACTGAACCACACTGCACCACACGGCGACACACTGCGACACACGGTGACACACGGAGACACACGGAGACACACACTGACACACTCTGAACCATACTGAACCACACTGCAACCCACACTGCTCCACACTGCGATGACACGGTGACACACACACTGCTACACACTGCGATACACGTTGACACACACTGAACAAACACACTGACCGACACTGCAACACACAGTGACACACACTGAACCACACTGCACCACACTGCGACACACACGGTGACACACTCTGAACCACACTGAACCACACTGAACCACACTGCACCACACCCGCGACACACGGTGACACATGGTGACACACTGCGACACACAGTGACACACTCTGAACCACACTGAACCACACTGAACCACACTGCATCACACTGCACCACACTGCGACACACTGCAACAATGCAACACTGCAACAAAACACTGAAACAAAACACTGCAACACACGGTGAGACACTCTGACGCAACCTGCAACACACAGTGACACACAGAAAGCAACACACTGACACAAAAAGATCGTGACACAATGCAACACACTGGCACAGACTGCGACACACACTACAACACACTGCACCACACACTGCGACACACACTGCATCACACAATGCAACAAACTGCATCACACACCGTGACACACAGTAAAACACACACTACAGCACATTGCATCACACATTACGAAAAACTGCATCACAAACTGACACATTTCCACACACTACATCACACTGGAGGAAGGGGTGGTGGTGGGGGGGGGATGTCCAGTGTCGTGTGTCTCTGTGTTCGGGTGTTCAGCTTCGCCATTTTGTGTGTTAGGGTGTTCAACATCGTGTGAGTGGTAGGGTGTTTAGCGTCGTGTGATTGTTAGGGTATTTGGGTGTTCAATGTCGTGTGTGTTAGGGTGTTCAGCATTGTGTATGTGTTAGAGTGTTCATCGTGGTGTGTTTGTCTTTTATGTGTTTGGGGTAAACGTCTTTTGTGTGATTGGGTGTTCAGAATCGTGTGTTTCTCTGTTAGGTTGTTCAGCGGCGTTTGTGCTTGGTTTTCATCGGCATGTGTGTGTGTGTGCTACGGTGTTCAGCGTCGTGTGTGTGTTGTTTGTGTTCAGCGTCGTGTATGTTAGGGTGCTCAGCCTCCTGTGTGTGTTAGAGTGTTCAATGCCGTGTGTGTAAGGGTGTTCAGCGTCGTGTGTGTGTGATTGGTGTTCAGCGTCGTGTGTGTGTGTTTTAGGGTGTTCAGGGTCGTGTGTGTGCGCACGTTAGGGTGTTCAACGTCGTGTGTGTTAGGTTGTTCAGCGTCGTGTGTGTGTTAGAGTGTTCTACGTCGTGTGTGTGTGTTTTAGGGTGTTCAACGTCGTATGTGTAAGGGTGTTCAGCGTCGTGTGTGTTAGGTTGTTCAACGTCGTATGGTGTGTGTGTGCGTGTTAGGGTGTTCAGCGTCGTGTGTGTGTGCGTGGTAGAGTGTTCATCGTTGTATATGTTAGGATGTTCAGCGTCGTGTGTGTGTGCATGTTAAGGTGTTCAGCGTCGTGTGTATCTTACTATGTTCAGCGTCGTGTGTGTGTGTGTGCGTGCGTGTTAGGGTGTTCAGCGTCGTGTCTGTGCGTGTTAGGGCGTTCAGCGTCGTGTCTGTGCGTGTTAAGGTGTTCAACGTCGTGTGTGTCAGGGTGTTCAAGGTCGTGTGTTAGGGTGTTCAGCGTCGGGAGTGCTAGGATTTGCAACGTCATTTGTGTTAGGGAGTTCAACGTCGCGTGTGCTAGGGTGTTCAACGTCGCGTGTGCTAGGGTGTTCAACGTCACGTTTGTTAGGGTGTTCAACGTCACGTGTGTTAGGGTGTTCAGCGTCGTGTGTGCTAGGGTGTTCAACTACGTGTGTGCTAGGGTGTTCAACGTCACGTTTGTTAGGGTGTTCAACGTCACGTGTGTTTGGGTGTTCAATGTCGTGTGTGTGTGTTTGTTCAGCGTCGTGTGTTAGGGTGTTCAGTGTCGGGGGTGTGTGTGTGTGTGTGTGTTTGGGTGTTCAGTGGCGTGTTTGTGTTTGGGTGTTTAGCGTCGTGTAAAGCAAGTATGTGGAAGTCATCTTCTGTGAGTTCAATAAGTAAAGCTGCTTTGCCCTGCCGCAACATTACAGAAGCAGCAACCAATGAATCTCAATCAGATAACACGGTGTAGATCGCCACTTCACATAGACACAGATAATGCTTCTATTGAAATGAAGGAGAGCGTGCATGATGAAATGATAAGTTATATCTCACAGAAAGGGACTAAGACTCGTAAAATGATTACGACACTGCTAAGTCATGACGGCGTGAAAGGGTTTCACATAGATGGTAAACAAGTGTGTTTATCTCTTTAGGTGTTTTGTTTTTTTGTGCTTTCTTGCGTATATCCTGATGCACTTGTGTTTGCGCTACGCTGTCTGTCTCGTTGTGTCTGTGGGTGATATGTTGTATCTCTGTGTGTGAGTGAGTTTCCCTGTTTGTCTGCTGCGTGGCACACAGTGCACAGTGCAGGAGCGTCGATATAAGTGTGTTCATGATACATACATCAGGCAAAGGAGCTATTCACCTCACAATGGCTTGACAGACAGCCATATTGCAACTAGACGAATTCCCTGCATACTGCAGCCAGCATGGGTGTGGGATAATTAACAGATGGGGCGGAGGAAAGGTCAGCTAGCAAAATGACTGCCAGATATAGGACGCCCAAAGTCATCCGAAACACCAGCCCCATGTTCACTGTATCTTTCTGTGATTTGCAGACTCTGGAGCGGATTTCTGCAGACGCAATACGTTAATGACCGGAACCTTACAGACCGCCTTGTCAAGGACCGATGAACTGGAAACCCGCTAAGGCCTTAAGTCGACAAGCTGTCCACGTGCTCCAGGCCACCGGACGAACAGAGAAATAATAATAGTAATAGTCCGCTTATATGGCGCTCATATCGAGACACATTGCCTGCTCACGGCGTTACGGACATCACTATCCCCGGTCATAGGACGCTATCGTACTTTTGATACTTTTTCAACTCCCTAGGGATCATAAAGCCATGCTGCCTGTTAGGCGTAATGAACTAAACACTCACATTTCCAGCACATCCTCACGGGTACCCAGTTTACAGCTGGGTGAACTGAGACAATGTGGATCTAAGTATCTTGTCCAAGGATACTACGCAATGTGCCCACCTCGGGACCCGAACCTAGGTGCCTCCGGGGATCGAACCCTGGCCTTCAGCGTGATAGGCAGACGCCTTATCACTGCACTATTGCGCTTCACAGTGCTCATAAAACAAGATATTTTTGTGTAAGTGAAAACCTCTTCACCTTTTAGGAATGTTACCACATGCCTTCATTCCGTTCCAAGCGCTTTGTCCTTCATTTTTTTCCATGAATATGGCCCTTCATTTCACTCCATGAATATTGCCCTTCATTTCATTTCATGAATATTGCCCTTCATTTCATTCCATGAATATTGCCCTTCATTTCATTCCATGAATATTGCCCTTCATTTCATTCCATGCATATTGCCCTTCATTTCATTCCATGAATATTGCCCTTCATTTCTTTCCATGCATATTGCCCTTCATTTCATTCCATGCATATTGCCCTTCATTTCATTCCATGCATATTGTCCTTCATTCCTTTACATGAATATTGCCCTTCATTTCATTCCATGCATATTGCCCTTTATTTCATTCCATGAATATTGCCCTTCATTTCATTCCATGAATATTGCCCTTCATTTCATTCCATGCATATTGCCCTTCATTCCCTCCCATAAATATTGCCCTTCATTCCCTCCCATAAATATTGCCCGTCATTCCTCTTCATGCATACTGTCCTTACCCACAAGAATAGCGTAGGTCAGGAAGAGCCATCTCATCTCAGTGACGAAAGCACTACAGGCAAACCCCACCAGCTCCAGGACACCGCCCAGCATGACGCAAGTTCGACAGCTGAACATGTTGATCACCAAGCTGGCAATAGGACCTTGAACAGAGTGTAACAATATATTAATGGAAGGCTTATCATTTCATGTCAAATCAGGTGGGTGGAAGGATTTTGTTTAGTGCAACAATCAGCAATATTCTGAAAAGGACTTTCTGCACGTGATCGAGTCACGGCCTGCAGACCAATGGTTGATGCCATGAGCACAGTGCAGTCTGTCATATTCCAGAGGCGCCTAGGCTCTTTTACTCTGAAGCGAGTTAGTTGCTCTCCTACGGGGAAAGTTAACCACCAAACAATTCAAACACGTCATTTGAACAAGAAATATAGCTCCTTTCTGCATTTTATTTATCTGTTTGTGGAGCATTTAATGACAAGTACTCGAAAAGACAAACAGCAGGACCTGGTTTCACATAGCGATCTGAGAGATACAACATTAATGAGAGGTTAATGAGAGGTCAAAAGTTAAAACAGTCAATCGGTGCAACGATGACGACGAAGCAATCCTTCCCAACTTTGGTACATCAATCATGGCCTGAAGCTAGATATGTCCCGATAATACCCTGGTCATCACAACAGTCCAAGGTCACGTTTCTCCAGACGATGGTAGCGCTAGGACAGCCGTTAGTCTATGCTAAAGTATGGGAGTTACGATCATCTTAGCGCTACGACAGCCGTTAGTCTATGCTAAAGTGTGGGAGTTACGATCATCTTAGCGCTAGGACAACCGTTAGTCTATGCGAAAGTGTGGGAGCTACGATCATCTTAGCGCTAGGACAACCGTTAGTCTATGCGAAAGTGTGGGAGCTACGATCATCTTAGCGCTAGGACAACAGTTAGTCTATGCGAAAGTGTGGGTGTTACGACCATCTTATCGCTACGATCGCTTAGAGGAACGGGAACCTGGACTGTTGGATGTCCATGGGGTCTAGGATGTCCCGCAGGTGGAAATGTTTCACACTTCAGTAACACTCAGTAGCCAGGTCAGTCTGTGCGGTACTACGCGTGCAGGTCTCCTTGAAGTCAAAGTGATACACCTTTACGTTCATGGTTCCATTTCCAACTGCTCTGTCATCAATCATTTGAGACAATCGAACCTTTGCACGGTCATTGCACAACAGAGATCACCAAACAGCAACCGACTGCAGCTGGCACACTGGGCGTTCTGTGTGGAACGGAAGAGTCCATTTTCATTTAAAATGGGACGTGAAGTTCAGGCTCTACCTGTACTCGTTAATGCGCCACGTCCATTGGTAAACGAACCAACTTTCTACCCATAACTGTTTTATCGACTGAATTGATTATGCAGAACATCGTGTTTAAGTGCCTGATCAAGTGTTCTTCAGCTTGGGTATCGAACATGTCACTAGTCACCTGTGAGAGCAAACATGCTGGCGAAGAGCGACCCCAGCCACGCCGTGACAGTGATATCCTCGTGGAAGTAGTCCAGCAGGGCGACGTGGACGACACCTGCACAGTAGGACACTGTGCCCCCCAGGAGCAACGCGAAGAATGACGCAACCATCACCACCCACTTCCACCACGGCGGACTGTGCGCAGTGGTTGCCATGGCAACCCAATAATGACTTCGTCAGTAGTCTGAAATGAATATAAAAGGGTCAATATAGGATAAAGAGATCGTTTGTCATGTCTTGTTAAATAGTACATGTATACTGGCCACATAAAGAAACTGTGCACACAGAAAATATAAAGATAGACAGGCAGTGTCTTTATACATAAATAAAGGTGTGAACATAGCAAGTATTGGAGACAATCAAACGCTCATGCAGGTGCCAAGCGACGTGACGTCATTCATGGTGGCCTATGAACTTGCAATGTGTTACTGCACGTGCAGCCTGTGCAGCTGCACACAACATGTGAAACTCAGAAATTGCTGTCACTGTCGAAAGCTTGATCTTTGGTCATTCAAACGTTCACAAATTCACATGAGAATTCACATGCACATCATGCCAAAATTAACATCTGCTCAACGTCACGAAACCATTGGAATGGTTCGAGCAGGCATGAGCCAACAACAGGTGGCAGCACATTTCCAATGCCATCGTATCTGCATTGGCCACTTGTTATGGAAACAGTAATGACGTCGCCGACCACCCACGTTTTGGGCGTCCCCGAGTAACGACGCCAAGACAGGACAGGTGGATTCGGGTGAATAATCTCAGACACAGGTTCCAGACGGCAGTGACCACGTCCCAAACCATTCCCCAGGCCTTCAATGCTCATTTGGTAGCCTATATGCGTCGTCGATGCTGTGCTTCACGCGCATGACGGCCATACCCGTTATTGACTTTGTGACTTCGTCGTGTGACCCTCTACTGAATTTTGAACTTCTGACGGCATCGTTACGGATATTGTTCATGTTCTTTTGACATGTTGTTGTTGCCCGATACTTAAGCTTATAAAGTGTCTACATCATTTCGTCTTCTCTGTGTTGTATTCCAATTCTTAAGGAATTTTCTGTGTGCACAGATTCACTTTTCAGGTCAAAGATGACCTTAAGCCAGTGTAACAATGAATACCATGAATCACTATCAGATTGTGTGGACTGCAGCTGTTTGCAAAAAGGTTAGCGTATCCTTCCTTATCGATGGCACCCGATAAATACACGCAACGGCAAGTCAATTGGGCCCGTAAGTAGGTCACGGCACTTAGCGAGACCTCAGTACTTTCGGTGACAAACAACGTTTCATACCTTTTCGAATGGTCTCATGGTTGTCAGTTAACAGTAAGGAACCGACAATCCTTGCAGGAATAACAAATATCGGATCTAAACATCCCCAAATTAGCCAACTATTACGACTGTCAAGAGCCGTGACAGCCAAGCATGGTTGTACACTAGTCTTGGTTCGGTCTAGTAAAGTCATATTAGGCGGTCGCGCAATTTGGAACCAGAACTGATTCTTGAATATACGATGTCGCCGGAAATCTGGTACCGAAAGTAGGTGGGGAGCATGTCAATATCAATTCAGAAAAACATCAGTGCACTGCATTCAGAACAGATGTACGAGGGGCGTTCAATATATTTTGCAACTTCAATATAAGACCATGTCGCAGAAAATTGCACTTTTATTTTTCAATGTAATCTCTATTCCCCCTCAATACACATATTTACATACAGCGTTGCAAACTCCCGCCTGCCCGACCGTCCGGGACGGTCTGTTTTGCGACCGGACGGTCAGTTTTATAAAGTTGCACGCCCGATGGTCTGGCTGTTGAATCAGCGTAATTTTGTAATGTATATAATGACTAAAAACATTTAAAAACGTGTTATTGTGCCGATCGATAATTTCGATGTTATTTTCACATATTGGACCTAATAAATTACGAACATTATCATTTACGAATTCATCAAAAACTAACCACGAAATCTTGATCATGTTTCCGCGGCGTGTATGTATTTACGCATCCATTTTTATCACACTAAGCTACCAAATGTACATGTAATGGATTGCGCGATTGGCTGCTATTTTAAGCATTGGACAATCAGAAACGGGCTTTCCCGACCCCACCCGCATGTAACAATGTTTCAAGGAAATCATTAAATAAATTGAATAAACTAATGAATAAAATCAACAATAGCATTCATAAAAGTTGTCAAACGTACATATAAAACTACTATTTCCATCTTTTTGTGCGATCATGCAATGCGAGTCAAGTCACTGACAAGTGACATCTCGGCTTTCGCTGCCTCAATCTTCACGCTTGGACACGATGTTTAATGCGAAAATATATGCATGAAGCATTTTTGTCACAGGTCATAACCTAGCACGATACGTCCAATAAGTTCCATAATTTACGTATACATAGCGATTTCGTGCTTAATATGTTCCGAATAGCATTATTTTACCCAAAACTTTCGTCTAAATATAAAAGTTTTCGTTTACGAGGACAGTATCCATTGCCGTAATATGATTGGCTGCCTCATGTCACGTGTCTGATTTTGACCAATCACGACTCTTATAGCAGACTGTGGCGAAAAAGCGTCATTAGAAACCAATCTTTATCCAATAAAATCGCTTCTTACAACTGTGAAAATACTCAGCAAGGGTATAGTGATATTGTTGATGTTCAGAGCTTTCGAACGATACCCGCCATCAAACGATTCGCCTCGCATGTTATTCATACGAAGCTTCGAAAACGGAGGTATTTTCCGTTGTTGTGTCATGTTACCGAGCGGAAAGCCACTGATATCGGGAAATAGGCGACCATACATATTATTTAAGAAATCTATATATTATAGGCGATTATTTAAGAAATCTTATAAGAAATCTTAAAGATTTCTTAAATAATATGTATGGTCGCCTATTTCCCGATATCAGTGGCTTTTAATAATTTTCTGATTACGTAAAAATGAAAATATAAAAGAAAAAGGCACAGGGATGTTATGACAAGTCACAAATGGAAAAAAATCGTCATAGTTTTTGCTTCTTTTGTGATATTTCTGGACATTATAAATGCTTGCATTTTCATTAAAAACTCAATCTATTTAAGTTGTAGTTGTATTATTTGAAAAATGTTAGAAAAATAAATTTCATATTTATCGACAGTGGGATTAGATCTTTAATTTTGCTGTATATCTAGAATCCAATTTGCAACGTTAAATGTCATTAACAATTTAGTTATATGATGCCATTGGGATTTAAAAAATGTCAAAAAGAGCTTTAGGTCAATGGCCTATCGCCAGACACCCACTCAGGACATTTGGCCTACTGATTTTTATAGGCTTCAAAATCACTGTTAATCCTGAAAATTCTGGACTGGTAACTTTCCAGCCGGTCTGGTAACTTTTGAGAGTTACCAGACCGGTTGTCTGGCCGGAATTTTGGGGAGTTTACAACACTGATATGAATAATGGTTTCAACAGTTCCAACTGATACTTGGAATTCCTTAGAAAGTACAGATACTTGCATTCGTCGGTCAGACAAAGATCATTCTATAGCTATGGTTTACTGTTTACTGACCGTCTATGGACTCCCGATCCCTTTTAAACTTCAGAGACCAAACTGCGGAATAGTCAGGAACATCCTTACCCATCACTTTACACATGCGATCATGGATTTCTTTTGCTTTGCTTCCCTTCTTGGTAAGGAACTTTATTACAGCGCGTTGTTCATGTTTGAGAGAATCCATGATTGTGACCACCCGTAGGTGAATGAAGCCATCATATCTAACTTATTGTTGTGTCTGGAACTTGTTATGACACGTGTCAGCCTGATGTCATGGCTGGTGCCACACCTGCCACAAGTTGACATTGTTTGGGTAAATACAAATGGCCAAGTTGCAAAACTCAATGAACGACCATCGTACATGACACTGAGACTCTTGAAGAATTACCTTGAAACATGAACATTGGTGTTACAAAATACAGGCTATGTCAACTGTTCAGTACATTAGGGTACACATACAAAGACGCTAAAATGTGGGTCTGTGTTGTGTGAACAATCGGACCTCATCGTTTGTCTCCGAAATTGTTATTTTCTAAATACCTTGCAGAAACGTATAAAATGAGCCTGTTGTCCTGGACGAGTCGTTGCTAAATGCCCCTCGCACGGCCAGCAATCAGTGGGGACTGGGAGAAGTCTGGGGGAAAGTTACCAATGGGAAGAGATGAAAGACTTATCAGTTTCCGTGCTGGCAATGTTTTCTCCAAGGCTGTGACTTCGACCCTCGCGCCAAGGTCAATGACAACGGGGACTACCACACTGAAAGTCATAGTATTTCTGGAGTGGGTGAGAAAAATAGATTGGTCTCTGTTTGCCTCCTGAGTTCATATTGTTGTTATGGTCAATTGCCTCAAAGGAGGTACTCTGACGTGGCTGCAACGAATGAATGTGGCCTTTTCGTCCAGGCCTTTAAAGCCACACCTCTATGAAATCAGAGAAATCTGACCCTGTGTATATAACTGAAAATTGCGTCAAATATCAAAGTTCACATCGTCTCACGACCTCCCCCTTACCACGGCGATCTTAACCCAATGGAGTTGATATCGGTTATCGTCAAATGTTCAAACTGTGGGGATGATGAAAAGATAATAAATGAATCCCTTGGTCTGCTAACAGTGGAGACAGCGTAGCCACCAAAGCCGTCAAACGAGTCGAGATACTGGTCACGTGATGAACTTCAGCAAGCAGCAGTCCAACGTATATGTTGACCATCAGCAGTGACACAAGCTATTAAGAAGAAGAGGGTGAGTCAGATGGTGACTAAATCATTATGAGACCACCCTCTTTTGCTGTCAAACACGTGAAGATCTGGGTTAGAATTGATCTTCAGTAAGTCATCCTTGTCGGAAGAGGCTTCTAACGAGGTCAGGTGCGCTGACTTGGGTGACATATGAGATCGTATCCCAATTGCGAAGATTGATGCTCATGGTGTTGATCACTGGATTCTCTGATCCAGATTCGATTATTTATAGACCGTCGTAATATAGCTGGAGTATTGCTGAGTGCAGTGTTAAACAACAAGCCAACCAACCAATATGTTGCTGTCCACCTAGTAGCCTGGTGTGGCACGTGCAGTAAACGTTGTGCCCGCCCTCCGTTAAAGACGTGAACTTGTACACATCACGACATGATTGGTTGCTGTCCATCTAGTAGCCTGGTGTGGCACGTGCAGTAAACGTTGTGCCCGCCCTCCGTTAAAGATGTGAACTTGTACACATCACGACATGATTGGTTGCTGTCCATCTAGTAGCCTGGTGTGGCACGTGCAGTAAACGTTGTGCCCGCCCTCCGTTAAAGATGTGAACTTGTACACATAACGACATGATTGTTTCTTCAACAACTGTTTTTCCAGCAGATATTATTGACAGAATGTTAACTCCCGCTGGACCTTATATTTTCACATGATTGTCACAATTATTTATTGCCACGTGCATTCTCCTTTTAATTTCCTTTTCACGTCATCGTGTGTTGTGTGTGTGCTGTGTGTTTACCCAATCGTTGAATACCGGGATATTGTCATTTATATTTGTTGGATGAGCTAGTATTGTCAGAGCTTAATACTTGGCAAAGTTTGAGTGGTATGTTAACGAACGAAAACAACAATCGTAGTTCTATCGACGGCCAGATAAACAAGAAATCTGTTGTATTAATGTACAGTAGAAACCTGATAAGTAACATTTGAAGGGACTCGCCAAAATTGTTTACTTATCAGGTATTTTACTTATCCAAACTCATCAAGACCTGCAAATGACAACCATAAGCATGCATATGTATGCATATGTAACAATGAACAATTAAGTTATCAGCGCTGGCTTCCAGTTGTCATTGTATTGTCAACTGCATGACGCCAGCGAGCTGTAAGTAGGATGTTTGTTTAGCTGGAGACTGACACGTGCCCCTCATGTCGGATTTTGTGGTGATCGCTAATTTAGTTATCCGGTCTATTTTATTAAATAATTTACTTCCAGGGACCGTGAGAAGACGTTTAGTTAAGCGGTATTGTTTACTTGTCCGAGTTTAGTTAACGGGACTTTAATAGTGATAATTAATGAAGAAATTTGCCAAGACCAAAGAATAGTGTTCACTTATCCGGTCTGTTTAGTTAAGCGGTCTTTACTTATGCGGTTTCCACTGTATCATGTATAGCGCGCTGTACTCAATACCTTTCGAGGTGACTAACAGGACCGGATGGTACAGCTCACTGACGTCGTTGATGCGTATCCCGACTGTACAGATCGATGGTACAGCTCGCTGACGTGGTTGATGCGTATCCCAAGTGTCCAGATCGATGGTATAGATTGCTAACGTGGTTGATGCGTATCCCGACTATACAGATCGATGGTATAGGGCACTGACGTGGTTGATGCGTATCCCGACTGTACAGATCGATGGTATAGCTCACTGACGTGGGTGATGCGTATCCCGACTGTCCAGATCGATGGTATAGATTGCTGACGTGGGTGATGCGTATCCCGACTGTCCAGATCGATGGTATAGATTGCTAACGTGGTTGATCCGTATCCCGACTATACAGATCGATGGTATAGCTCACTGACGTGGTTGATGCGTATCCGGACTGTCCAGATCGATGGTATAGATTGCTGACGTGGATGATGCGTATCCCGACTATACAGATCGATGGTATAGCTCACTGACGTGGATGATGCGTATCCCGACTGTCCAGATCGATGGTATAGATTGCTGACGTGGTTGATGCGTATCCCGACTATACAGATCGATGGTATAGATTGCTGACGTGGTTGATGCGTATCCCGACTATACAGATCGATGGTATAGCTCACTGACGTGGGTGATGCGTATCCCGACTGTCCAGATCGATGGTATAGATTGCTGACGTGGTTGATGCGTATCCCGACTATACAGATCGATGGTATAGCTCACTGACGTGGATGATGCGTATCCCGACTGTCCAGATCGATGGTATAGATTGCTGACGTGGTTGATGCGTATCCCGACTATACAGATCGATGGTATAGCTCACTGACGTGGGTGATGCGTATCCCGACTGTCCAGATCGATGGTATAGATTGCTGACGTGGTTGATGCGTATCCCGACTATACAGATCGATGGTATAGCTCACTGACGTGGGTGATGCGTATCCCGACTGTCCAGATCGATGGTATAGATTGCTGACGTGGTTGATGCGTATCCCGACTATACAGATCGATGGTATAGCTCACTGACGTGGATGATGCGTATCCCGACTGTCCAGATCGATGGTATAGATTGCTGACGTGGTTGATGCGTATCCCGACTATACAGATCGATGGTATAGCTCACTGACGTGGGTGATGCGTATCCCGACGTGGTTGATGCGTATCCCGACGTGGCTGATGCATATCCCGACTGTCCAGATAGATGCTCATTATGTCAACCACTGGTAGGATACATAAGAACAATTCTATCTCGGATCTTCATGACGGATGTGGTATTGGGTCGATCCTGCATCACAGATCAGTTCCGTTTTAACATGAAATAGTCTGAGGTGAGGTTAGGTAATGATTGAACCTGTAACCCTTTTCTATAATGGATCATTCCAGGAAAACCTGTACCCCTTCTCTGTAATGGATCAGTCCAGGATTATTTTCCACAAACATTTGTACGACCTGGTCACTCCATGCAACTATGGTAATCAAGTTTATTCTGGACTAATTTGAACTTGCAAATTACAGGCAATATTTCAAACCAACCAAGTTATATTAATTATCACACGGCATATACTACTTTGGATATAACAAAACATCAAATGTGCTTGGAATCACAATTCGATCAATTTGCAAATGAGATTACGAAGCAGATGAGCTACACAATACACCCATTCAATGTCGGATTTTCCAGTTAAGCATTATCTCACGTCCTCAATCAGTAAATATGCGCGTGTCCTTGCGTGTGGGTAGATATATCGACAATGTACGATAATCCGGCACTGTACGATAAGTAGGGCGGTTCGCCCAATCACATCCGGCTACAAAACATACGATGAGGATAATGTTGTTTTTAAAAACTTTAGAATTTCGTAATATATTTGGATGAAGTTGTTGATGGCGACTGTGGCAATATGCCTTTTGTACAAGTAGAAAATGTGATTTGGAAAGAGTAGATGGTTAACATAGCCGCAGGTACAGATAATCGTATTCCACCTAAACTCTGGTGGCTCACCTGACCAACACAAGCACAAATTATGTCTTTGGCTATGCCTGATTGTCATGATCAGTATTTACCTATGGCAGGTTTAAAATAGTGGACATGGTCGTTCAGTTAGGAGATAAGCATCATGTGTTGGCCCATTTCCGGGTGTTATTGAGTATTTGAAGCACGGGAATTCATTTGGAACCGGCGGCGTTAGCCGGGGGTTTCAAATGACATATTCCCGTGCTTCAAATACTCAATAACACCCGGAACTGGGTCAACACATGATGTTTATCGACATTGTAAACACAAAAGTAAACCAAAAGGTCCACAAACGTTTTACTGTCTGCACTCATTTGCATCGAGTGCGGGTACAGCAGTGAAGTGTCATCAGCCGGCCGTTTCGCTGTTCCCTCCCATGGTAGCATCTAGAACTGCTCATTTGTAACGTCGTTCCGACTTTACGTCACAATATGATTTGAATGACGTCACCAATGCTGACTACACAACAATACATTTGTGTGCAAAACTTGTACGTATTAATACGCAGCCAATAGTGTTGTAATTTCAGGAAATCGAAAACCAGTCGATCATGTTTTCAACCAAGCAGATTAAAGAACACAGTGACT